GTTGGTTGCTCCGGGAGGAGAATGACACAAAATGTTTGCAGGCCACATCTGCTCAGGAATGGCCGAGGTCAAGCTTCTCTTGACCTCGCATCAGACCTCGGCGTGTTGTTTATGCAAGGAGCCCAGCCTTATCAGGCCAGGGCCTGCGAGGTCTACCAGAACGGCCTGAAGTTCCAGTTTATTTTCTGGGAATTGTTGTGATGTGCATCTCTTAGTCACTTCCCAGGATCTTAAGGCCAGAGACTTCTCTGGTACCTGTGGGGAATTTTAATAAACAAAGAACTTGCCACTAGAAGTTCTTTTTAAAGACTTTTTTACACTGTAATATACAGTGTGCACCATGTCCTCCTTTAAATGGTCAAATTGGGCATCTGTTAAATCTTGTTGCAAATTATTTTAAAAGCAGATCCTGGGGGAAAAACAGATAACTTATTTATAAATATCCGTAGAAAGTTACTCGCACGGCAACCATGAATCCTCTAGTCAAAATAAAAGATGACTGGGAGCAAAACATTTCTGTGGTGTGTTCCTTCGCTTTGGGTTCAGGAGTCACGAGGAGCTGAGCTGCCCTAGGCCAAGGACGGGAGCAAGGTCCTGCCCAGCAGCTCCTGTCCCTGTCTGGTTGCCTGGTTCTGGCTTGGACAAGACCCCCACAGCTCGTAGGGAGCTCTGCGGCTCTTCCTCACAGCCCTGCAGCTGAGCGAGTCAGAACTGCTCTTGAGACGGAGAAAGCACTGAACTAAAACGGAGCCCTCTTGCTGCACGGTTGGCAGGCAGGAGTTCCTTGTTTGTCTGGCATGGTACAGGGCTCCGGCTCACGTGAGCGCATTTGGTCCACACGGCAGCCTAGTGGGGCCGGAAGGGCAAGAGGTGACACTGCTCAATTATTTACTATTTAACAGTTTTTTTGTGTGTGTGTTTTTTTTCCTAAAAGCAGTACATGCACACAGTAAAAACAAAAACAAGAACACAATTCCTACAGCACCAAGGCATCCGCAGTAAAAGCACATCTCTGTCTCACTCCTCGCCACGAGGTCCCGTTCCCGAAGGCTGCCCCGTGTTTGCTCTCTTGTTTCCTTCCTGAGACAACCCATCCATATGGGAACACAGATGTCTGTCCACCTGCCTTGGTTTTTGCTCACATGGTGGCACTCTCTACAGCCATCATACATCTTGCTTTTCCATTTACCTGTCATTTCCTCCCTCCTTGTTTTTGACATTGAATAGCATTCCATTGTGTGAATGTGCCATAGTTTGTTCATATTGCTTTTGTCCTTTATTATTACAAACAAGACTGTGTGTATCTTTGTGTACTTTGTGTATGTATGTGTGTGTGTGTGTGTGTGTATATATATATATATATATATATATATATATGATAAGTACCTAGAAATGGAATGTGGGCCTAAGGGTATATGTGTTCTAAAGCTTGGCAGCATGGCCAGATTGCCTTCCAGCTAATTTGTTTGAAAGGTGAATGAAGGAGAGACCCAAAGAGGTGGCTTTATGAAATTTGCACCTCCTACCTGGGTCCCTCAATCTGTGAGCGGCAGTACAGCTACCAGAACCAGGCTCAGACTCTGGGCTTAGCCCTCATCCCTTGCTCCAATCTGCAACCCCCCCCCCCCCCCCCCGCATTGGTGGCTCAGGTGTCTGGATCCCCAAGCCTCTCCTCTGACCCTCCCAGTCCATGGCCTCTCTCCACACACCCTCTTTAGTAATTGAGTTGATTCTTTCCTGAGATCTTAACCATCTTGCAGGAATCCAGGAATGCCCGCTCCAGGGCTGGCACTTTCCTCCTCATCTTGGTTCTTTGGACAACGCCATGCATGCACGAATCTCAGAATCACATCCCTAAATATTTTTTTCATAGGAGCAGAGGTGGACAAGAGGGAAGTGGATCAGTCATGCAATTATTTTACCGTTAGTTTCATGTTCCACAGTTCTTGTAATAAGAACTTGAAATGTTAAGATTTCCTCATTTAAATAAATTGAGGTAGCCTAACCTTATTTGGAAAATGCTATTTTAGGCTTTTAGCAGGTGAATGTTAACAAGAACAGATTATATTGTCATCCTGGCAATGGGCTTCACCTTGTTGGAGCAAGGCAGGGGCCTGCACAGCCCCTCTAGTCGCCTTAGAAGCCAGGGGGTCCTTAGCTTACCAAGGTGGCAGCTGCCTTTGGCTCTGACACTCCATGGGGCCTCTTGCCTCTGTCTCTGCCAGCTTGACTCTTGGTTTGTTCTGTGGCAGCAGAAGATACATGAAGGATCATTTGTCAAGGCCTCCCTATCTCAGCCCACCAAAGATGCAGCGGGGAGCATTCGGTGGGCAGGGGGAGCTTGTGGGCTTGACCTCCACCTCTTGACCATCTCCTCCCAAAGTACAGGGCGGCTGAGCTGCTGTAGTGTCAGTGCCCCCCTACCCGCCCCAACCCTTTCCTCTCTTGATCATGCTCGCTTCCCCACTGTGACGTGAAAGCTTTCCAAAGCCCCTATCACCTTTCTGTCACTCCCCTGCTTTAAACTTCCTGTGACGTCCTGTGGCTCTTTCAACAATGCCCAAGCTTTCTCACTTCACCTCCTATGATCTAACCCTGCAGCTCCCATGGCTCATCTCTCTCTCCCCTGCCTGCCTCACTCCTGCTCCCACCCATCCACCCTGTGTTCTGTCACACTGAACGGATGGCCCTTGCAAAGCTGCAAACACACCCATTCACCCATTGTTCTGATGTCTGTCTGGGTCTGTGTGGGCCCCCAGGAAGCAAGCCCCTGAGGGCAGGCGCCTGGTCTCATTTGTGTTTACATCCTCAGTGCACACAGGGGGCTGGGCCCCAATAGGCACTGACTGGGCCAAGGTGTGAGTGACAAGCTGGCCACTCACATGGCAGCCTAGTGGGGCCGGAAGGGCAAGAGGTGACACTCCACGTTGTCCAGGAGCAGAGCATGGATCTTTCAATCTGGCCTCCAAGAGCAGTGCTGAGAGAGGGCGGGACAGCCAGTGAAGTCCCCGGGCCTGGTCCCATCAAGGCTTGAGGCCCATCTGGGATTCTCTCTGACCTCCCAGTCTTCTTTAAACTGAGGGCATGTTTGTTTTTTGTTTGTTTGTTTTAGAGAGGGGGGAATGGAGAGAGAGAAAGAAAGAGAAACATCAATGTGAGAGAGAAACATTTATTGGTTGCCTCCCGTATGTGTCCTGACCGGGGATGAACCTGTAATCTAGGTATGTGCCCTGACCAGGAATTGAACCTGTAACCTTTTGGTATACGGGATGACGTTCCAACCAACTGAGCCACACAGGCCAAGGCCCTCCCAATCTTTTTAATCAAATTTTTTTAGGCCAAAAGAATGTGGTCAACTCTGTGAGGGAAAATATCATCAGTTAAGAGCTTATGCCTTGGGCCAACTGGCATGTCTTCTGACAAGCTGAGGTATCTACTCTAGAATGCTGCCACTGCTTCAAGGGACTTGGACCTCATAGCACTGTCCCCTCATGCACTACCATCAGTGGTACTTCTCTGGGTTAAGAGCACCTGGTTTGGAGTCAGAGCCACCCCAAAGGCTGTTTGTATAGGCTTCTGGCCCCAGATGGTGACTCCTCCCCCATCAGGTATCTGGGCTGCACTGGGGCTAGGGGTGCCTGCAGCCACTGCTAGTCCACTGTGGGCAGTGGGGCATGTCAGCAGTGTTCCTCCGCTGCTTTCTTTAGAAAGGCCCTCAGGTGTAGGGCTGTTAAGATGTGATGAGGCAACCTGGCTGGTGTGGCTCAGAGGTTGAGTGTCAACCCAGGAACTAAGAGGTTCCCGGTCAGGGCACATGTTCCGGTTGCAGGCTCCGTACCCAGTGGGGACATCGATGTTTCTCTCTCATCTCATTGATGTTTCTCTCTTTCTATTCCTCTCCCTCTCTCTCTAAAAATATATATATATATATATATATATATATATATATATATATATATATATGATGTGATGTGATGAGGCAAAAGGAAAGCCAGGACTTAGGGATCCCAATTCATGGGTTCCCTTCAAAGTCATTGCCCTGGTGATGATGTCACTGGAGAAGCGATGTGCAAGCCACAGGGATTTGCCCCCTACCCTGAGCAGAACCACCCAGCTAAACTGTATTCACAGGGCTTGACATGGTGACCATAGACTGTTTCCAAAAATCAAGGACAAAGATTTGCTACCTCTGGGGACATCCAAAATAAAGTGATGTCACTTCTGATGGAAGGTGAGGTTACATGGCGATCCAGTGGCCCAGCTCTTATGACACTGTGTTCCTTGGGACCATTGACATAAGAAAGCAACATCAGCCAACCCCATCACTTTGGACATAAACCTCCTAGAATATCAGATGTAGTAGCCTCAGTCTGGAAAGATGAGGATCACCTGCCCAGAGGGCTATTTTAAGGGTAATTATGGTGCCTATCATTTAGGGAGCATTCATATGTCAGGTTTACCTACAGTGTCGCTGATCTATACACAGCCCTAGGGAGGCAACCCTAACCCGTTTTCAGATGAAGGAACTCAGGCCAATCAGCTAGTAAGTGCAGAGCCAGGACTCGAACCTAGATCTGTTTCCTCCAAAGCTGGAACTCTTTTTTCACCTTTTGCTGCTTCTTATTGAAGACAAAGGACTCCATTAGAGTCCCTGGAAGAAAACTAGGGTCATATCATTTAGCTTTGAGTGAGGGTACTCAGAGTTGTCTTCAGATATGCCAGGCTTAGCTTCCAGGAGGCTCTGAGTCTCAGGCGGGATGAAGGGCAGAGTGAGTAAGTGCAAATGTTCCGCAGTCAGGGTAATAGCCAGTGGGCAGGGGCAGCTGGGGCGGGGCAGGTGAGGGTGCGGGCAGGTTTGGGTGCGCTGTGCCTGTGAAAAACAGGGGAGTTGTGGGTGCCTGGAGGCTGTACAGATTGAAGGCAGGGCAGAGTGGGACAGATGGCTTTGGGTGGACCAGGTTCCACACCATTTACCATGCCCACATTTCCTTTTATTTCAGATGTTCTCAAGTCAGCAAACATTTACTGAGTACTTTCTATGTACAAGGTATGCTCTGGGTACTGGGGGAGGGGATGTGGGGAGCAGAGGTGAATGAGTCACACACATTTACTGTCCTTGGGGGAAGCTGGGGTAACGGGCAAATGGATATGGGGAGGGTGGCAGAGTGTTCCAAGTGGCAGCAACTTGCCCAGTAAAGACTGCGCATGAGCTCCCTGACTTGGGGTACCCCTGGCGGAGGAGATGCTGTCAGTGGGCTCTAAAGGTCAAGGAACATTTTGTTGGGCTGAGAAGTGAGGAAGGCCCACGGGCATGGACTCCTGAAAGTGCAGCTGCCAGGGTTTGTCCCCACCAAGAGCTCCCAGTTGGCCTGTCTCCCCAAGTCTGGTGCTGCCTGCCCAGGCTCTGTTTCCACCTCCGGCCCAGAAGCTAGCACAGGCCCACCCTGTCTGCCAGGCTGGTGACTTTGGCCCCTAGGCCAGCTCTTGGGCCCAAGGCTGGCGGGATGGGGGCGTGCTGCCATCTGGTGGCAGGCTCTGGTCAAGCCCTCATTTTCCCTGAGCCCCCTCAGGTCAGCCCACTTGTCTGTTCTCAGTGCACCAGGCCCAGATTTTACTTAGAGAAACATGGTCATTTACTCTTCTGGGGGGAACAAGGAGGAACCCTCCTTCTCTCGTGGGCTGGCTCCTCCCCAGCCAAGAAGCCTCAGGCAGCTTCCAAGGCACAGGGGAGAATGTTCAAGGCCCTCCCCCAGTCCTAAAGGGAGTACATGCTTACTAGGACCAGAGGCTAGATCCCCCTTCCACACGGCTCCGCTCCTGTTTCCCTTAGCAAACGGTAAGGGGCCCCTCTCTGACACTTGCATTTGGGCCACAGGACAGAGGTGACTAATCGTAACAGAATCAGCATGTGTTCTCATCGGTCTGGCCCAGCCAGATATTGTTCCCAGATGAGAACATGTCTTATTGGGTTTAACACTGATGGCTGTGGAGACAGAACACTTTGAGTAACAGGCAGCCACACTGTCCTGAATAAACCCTGGGCCCTCCTACCTTGTACTGGCCAAGGCCGGGGCCAAAGCTGGCTCTGGGGCTTTGAGACCAGCACTCACACCAGCCTCCCCCACTGACTTCATCATGCTGGGGCGCCCGTTGCCCTGCAGAGTAGCTGGGAGGTGGCTTAGTGCCCCAGCCTGCTTCCCCCCTGCTGAAACCTGGCTGCATGCGTGGGCTCTGGGTCCAGCCTGGACCTCCTCAGGCTAATGCTCTCTCTACTCTTTCTCCCTCTGGAGATGAACATCTGCAACAAGCCCTCCAACAAGACAGCGCCTGAGAAGAGTGTGTGGACAGCACCCGCACAGGCCAGCGGACCCTCCCCGGAGCTGCAGGGCCAGCGGTCCCGCCGGAATGGGTGGAGCTGGCCCCCGCACCCGCTCCAGATTGTGGCCTGGCTGCTGTACCTCTTCTTCGCGGTGATCGGCTTTGGGGTCCTTGTTCCCCTCCTGCCTCACCACTGGGTGCCTGCTGGCTATGCTGTATCCTTGGGAAAATGTGGGGCTGATTCATGGATTTGTAGGGGCAGTAGATGGAGGACATGGCAGAGGCCTGAAGCTGGGTTCCAGAGCCTCAGAGAGCGCAGGGAGACCGGTTTCTTCCCTGGGAGAGACCAGCTGCCTGCCTGCCTGACCTCCAACCTCCCTCTGCCCCCTCTGCCCCCTCTGCCCCCTCTGCCTGATGCAGTGAGCTGACAGACCTGAAGTACCTTGGAGCATATAAAGGCCCACACAGAGGGAGCCTCTCAACCAGGGTACCGCTCGAAAGCTCTCTTTAAGCTAATTGTGTCCAGAGCTCAACAAGGGATAAATGAGAGAGTAATTATTCCACTTATGAAAGAATTTTTCACTTTTCAAGAAGAGTCATGGTAGAATTCTTTTACATAGTAAGGTTTTGGTACATTTAAAATGTGGTTTTATTTTGGACAGATTATGATGCGGTCCCAGGACTGTTTAGGACAGCGGTTCTCAACCTGTGGGTCGCGACCCCTTTGGGGGTCGAACGACCCTTTCACAGGGGTCGCCTAAGACCACCAGAAAACACATATATAATTACATATTGTTTTTGTGATTAATCACTATGCTTTAATTATGTTCAATTTGTAACAATGAAATTGGGGGTCACCACAACATGTGGAACTGTATTAAAGGGTTGCGGCATTAGGAAGGTTGAGAACCACTGGTTTAGGAGCTCACTGACTTTGTAAACATGCCCTTTTAGGGAGAGGTTGGATTGTCGAGAGGAGGGATCAGAGATGCCCTGGAGGCTCCTGAGAACAGTGACAAACACAAACTTGCAAGGGCCTAGTGGAGTGACCGCAGCAGCTCTGACCACAACCCCAGGAGCAGAGGCCGTGGCTGCAAGGCTGAGATTGGAGTGCAGCAGCGGCCGTGTGCTCCTGTCCAGAGGGGCCCTGCGAGTGTGCCTGGTGTGTGTGCTTCATGGCGATCATCCCTTGGGCCTTTCAGGGAAGGAGGGCTAGGGTGAGCTGCAGGAGGTTATCAGGGATGAACTCTATGCCTCCTTGGACATAGAGTCAGCAGTGGAGCTTGGTCCCAGCTCAGCCCTTTAAGGGCTACATAAGGACTTCTGCCAGCTCCAGCTCTCAGCCTCCTCCTCTGCCTGCTTCCCAGGGTGGGAACAAGGAGCACCAGAATGCATTAGCCATAAGGGAAATCCCAGAGCCCTGGGCTGGTGAGTGACAATGGCAGGTGTGTGGAGAAGGACGCCATCCCGGACACCACCAGTGTCACTAGGCCCCCGGGCACAGTCATGAGCTCTGTAAGTGGGAAACTGGCCTTTTCCAGAAGCGACCAACAGGCCTTAGGGTTGTTAACTAGAAGCTTCATGGAATAGTCCCCTCATGATCTGGAATGGGCACACCCCTCACTCAGGGCTACCTCGGTTTCTGCCATGTGGTCTGCAGTGAGTGCAGTCAGGACACTGCCAGTAAACAGAGTAACTGTCACTTATTGAGCACTTCTGTGTGCCAGGCCCTGTGCCATTCCCTGTACGTAGATGATCTTGTTTGATCCTCATATTAATTTGGAGGTATTCCTCCCACTTCACTAAGAAATTGGGGCTCAGCGAGATTGAGTGACTCCCTGAGGTCACACAGCTGGTGCCTAGTGAGGCCAGCAGAGCTGCTCAGGGCACTCCAACTCCAAGGCACTGGGATGGTTTGGGGCTTTTGTCCTCTCCACATTAATTGCTTTGGGCAATGTGGAGGCTCACAGAGCCACCAGATCTGGATTGTTCTTCCTTCCTTCAAAGCCACCTCCCTTCTGTAGCCTTCCTCAGGACCCTGGGGAATGAGGGAGGGAGATAGTGTGTAACAAGTACCCACCTGGGGTCTGGATCTAGCTGGGACCGAGGGTTGCAAAGATTAGCAAGACAGGGCCCCAGCCCTGGGAGCTCAGCCTCCAGCTGGAGGGAAGCCTTGTAGACTGGAGTATCCCGCGGCAAGTACGGGGTAGGGGCTCTCCAGCATCCTGTGGATGTGGGAGATGGGCCATCTAGACCAACATCGCCACAGGCCCTGACGCCCCTGCTGCTCACAGCTCCCCTCTTCACATCACCTGACCAACCTGTCCATTTGCTCTTGACCCCACCCCTTCCCTTCATCACCTGTATCCAGTCGGTCATCAAGTTCTGTTGATTTTACCTCCTAAATAGCCATCAAATCACTCTCTTTCTCTCTCACCTCCATCTGCCTCTCTTAACTAGAGGACCATTTTGTTGCCAAACCAGTCTTTTACACACACTCTCACTCGAACCAGTCCATGTGTGTAGCTGCAGCCACAGTGGCCTTTCCAAAAACAAACACGATAACATTGTTCCCCAGCTAAATACCCTCTAATGCAGCGGTTCTCAACCTGTGGGTCGCGACCCCTTTGGGGGCCGAACAACCCTTTCACAGGGGTCGCCTAAGACCATCGAAAAACACATATATAATTACATGTTGTTTTTGTGATTAATCACTATGCTTTAATTATGTTCAATTTGTAACATTGAACTTGAGAGCTCACCCAACAACATGAGGAACTGTATTAAAGGGTTCGGGGCGATTAAGGAAGTTATGAGAAACCATCTGATCTTGAATGGCATACTCCCGCTTCAAAGGAACGAGGGTTCTAGGCTACTCAAGGGATCTATGTGTTCCAGTCTTCTGCATGCCTCCCCAGCCTACCTCTTACGTTTCTTGCTCTGTTCTCTGCTGTGACACAGGTCTCTTCCTGGAAGCCCCTTGCTCCTCTCCTCCACCCCAACACCCAGCTAAGTCAGAAGTCAAGAACTGACAGCCCATGAACCAGTTTGGCCTACAGACTTTTTCTTTTTTTAAAATTGAGGGATAATTAGCACGCAAAATGAACAGACCTTTGGCAGGTGGGTTTAAAAAAATAATTTCCTTGTCAACATTTAAAACATGAGAGACCTCACCAAAAAACGTCCAGATTTCTGGTTCCTTTTGAAAAGCCAGAATTTGGGGACATGGGCCCTCATTCTCACATGGCAGCCATGAGTTGAGCTGGAACCACCCCTCTGGCTGGGACTCTGCTTGCTCCCAGGAACCAGCCAGGCTCCCTTTCCTCCTCACATCACCTGCCAGTCTCAGCTGAGGCGGTCCCTTCTCAGGAGAGCTTTCTGGATCCCTTCAGACTAGTTGAGGTCACACAAACTCACATTGTCCCATGAACTTTCTTTGTTGCAGTCAACCCCTTATGTGATTAACATTTCTGTTTCCTACCAGACTGTAGTCTCCTTGGAGCTCGGGGACCGTGTCTGTCTCGCTCCTGCCATATTCCTCAGTGCCTGGCATAGAGAAAGACCTCAGTAAACAGTTGAATGAATGAGCCAGGGTGTGGGGGCGGGAGAAGTGTTGGAGCAGGCAGGAAACTAAATGTTTGCCCACATTCAGTGTGTCTGAAGAGAGCCTGGAATGCTGAGGAGGAGTGGTTGTTACCAGAGAGGTTTGAGAGGAGCCAGAGCATAAGGGCCTAGCGCTGAGCTGAAGAATAAACTCTAGTTTGAGGGCCCCTGAAAGCCAGTGGAGGAGGTTAAGCAAGCAAGGATTTAGGTTTAAGCTCTTCAAAACTGCTTTAAGACCAAGTGAAGGGCAGAGTCAAGAGGACCCAGAGAGGAGGAACAGCGTCGTGAGACTATGGAATAACCCAGGCCAGTGCCAAGGCCTGACCCACAGCCAGGGCTGTAGACGGTTTTCATTGGTCACAGGGTTGTCTCTTTCAATGACGGCCCAGCACAGTAGGGTGGAGCCTGGCTCATGCGGACACGCAGGGAAATTTGGCCGCTGGAAGGAAGAGGAGGAAGGGAGGAAAGGAGGTTGGACAGCTGATGGATGGAAGCTGAATGATGGAGGGATGGTGTCTGCCTGGCCAGCAAGAGTATGGATGAATGGAGGGGAGATGGCTGCCTGTGTGGAATCTATTAGGGAATTTTTACACATTTAGACTTTGCAGCAAGTTGTCAGCATACTCATCTCCAGAATTTGGTACAATCACTGAGCAGATACGTCCTGGAAGAGCTGTGTTTCAGCTCCAGGAATTAGAGATGTTGTCTCTGGTCAGGCCCTAAATGCATCAGAATATCCTAGATCCTCAGCCCCAGGGTTTCAAATACCTGAACTCCAGGTCCGGGAGGTGGTGGGGATGGGCCCCATCGCAAGTGACTCTCTGTCTGGCCGGCTACTGAGAGAGCATCGCCTTTTCCCTCTCAGAGAGGACTTCCTATGAAAGCAAGACAAACAAGCTTTGAACTTATATTTTAGGTCCCTCGACCTAAGAGGATGGTCTCTTTCAGTCTCACTTCATCATTTAGAATCTGAAACCAGATCAGAATTGGAGGTTAGACCAGCCAGAGCCTGCACCAGGCTTGGAGCAGTGAGGCCACAGCCCTGTGTGTGCATGGCCTTGTTTTGGGGCCCCTGGGCAGCAGCAGGCAGTGCTCATTTGTGTTCCCAGATGACTGCTCCCCCTTCCATCCGGGCCTGGGTACCCTGGAGGGGTCTGACAAGGAAGTTCTAGGGACCTGGAGGTAGGGCGGGCACAGGCTGAGTCTCTGGGAGGGAGCTGTATGGAGGTGGGGACCAGTTCTCTGGCCACAGGAAGCAGGGGGTGGGGTCTCAACTGGCAGAGTGTGGAGTGAGCCTTTAACCTGCTGGGCCAGTGCATGGGCGCCATCTTTGCTGGCCACCTCGTGGTGCACCTGACTGCTGTCTCCATCGATCCAGCAGATGCCAACGTGAGGGACAAGAGCTATGCCGGGCCCTTGCCCATCTTCAACCGAAGCCAACACGCACATGTCATTGAAGACCTGCACTGCAATCTGTGCGACGTGGATGTGTGAGTGCGTGTGGACAGAGAGTGTGGGCGGGCGATGAGTGTGCCTGGGGAACTGTCGTGGGAGCTCAAGGCAGAGAGGGGCATGCCCAGGGCGTTATAGTCACCCTGATAACACACGTGTTTTACAGTCAAGCATCTTGATGGAGTGACAGAGAATTGGGTGAAAGAGAAGGTGAAGAAAAGGTAATTGGAAACAGAAGATGAGGAATAGCATTTCCAACAGTAAATGTAGGAAACATTTGGCACAACCACAAACCCACAAACATTTCTAATGACTAACTCTACCAGCCACCCCCCACCCCAATCTCACAAGCATTCCCAGATAGGGACAGGGAGGGGAGTTAACACTTGAGACTTACTGTTGCCAAGTGCTTGGAACAGCCACCCTGCAGGGTGGGCAGCATCTTTCTCCACAGGGGAGAGCCCAGAGCTCAGAAAGGCTCAGAGGCTTGCCTGAGGTTATGTGGCTGCTGGGCAGCAGAGCCACAGTCACCACCAGCTGGCCTAGTCCCCGAGCAGATCCTGTGATCCTTGTTTGCCCATGAGGACTCAGGCCCAGAGAGGCCAAGTGACTTACTCCAGGTCACACTGCTAGTGGGGAGATGAGTCAGAATGTGCGGAGCCCATGCCTTGACTGGTCCAGACGGCCTCCCTAGATCCCTCCCCACCCTCCTAGAGCTTCCAGCCTCAGGTGGAGGATTAGGCATGGGGCTGTGGTCCAAGGCCAGCTCTACCCTTCCAACCTGAAGACTCAGGCAGCCTGTTGGAAGGGGGTCTGTCCACAGGGCCGAGAGAGTCCATGGTGTTAGGGTGCTGAGGACTTGGGCATCAGACCATCCTTTCCTCCACTAGGCACCAGGCAGTGTGTTGTTCCTCAATGGGTGCCCTGGCAGTTGCTGCCCATTCCAGGGCTCTGTCCAGTTTGGGGGAGTGCTCCCCACTCTTCTGCACTCCTTTGGGCTTCCCCAGTCCCTCCCTGGGACTGGGAAGCTCACATTCTTAAGTGGCCTCATCTCATCTGTGGTGAACTGCCCCGAGTTCATCCAGATGTCATCTTGTTCCTCTTCTTTTGGTTCCCTTTGGATGAGCCCAGACAAGCTGGGGTTTTCTGGAAGAATGCCAGTATAATTCCCACAGATTGGCACAGAAACGGGCACTCAAACAAATGGAGCTGTTGGGAAGAGCAGGGTAGGCCCTGGGCCTGACAGCCTTGCCCTGTTTTGCTTCCCGGCCCTTCACCTGCTTTGTCTCCTGGTTCAATGCAGGGGTCCTTGCTTGGAACGGAAGCCCCATTTCTGTTTCACACCCCCGTCACCCGGTGTCCACTCCCTGAGTGGGGCAAAGTAATACTGCCCCACCCTTCCTCCCTCCTGCCTTGGGTCCCCAGATCTTCAGAAACGCTGCCTCTTCTGGGTGCCCGGCCCCGCAGTGTCGCCAGAGGGCGCGCACGCTCCCCGGCGCTGAGCTCCTTGGTTCCGCGGAGGCGCCGGGTTTTGATCACCCGCTCCAGGCGGCCCCTCGCGGACTCCCGTCGCTCCAGCCAGGCCCTGCCGCCGAGGGGAGGACCAGCCAGCGGTCTAACCGCACTGCGCCCCCTCCCTCCCCGCAGGAGCGCTCGCTCCAAGCACTGCAGTGCCTGCAACAAGTGCGTGTGCGGCTTCGACCACCACTGCAAGTGGCTCAACAACTGTGTGGGAGAAAGGAACTACCGGTGAGAGCGGACCCTGGCTGCAGGGATGCCTGGGGATGGGCGGGTCTGAGTGTGTGAGTCGGGACATTGAGACTGCAAGGCGGGGGTGGGGGTACTTGGAGCTGGGCGCTGGTGTGCATGTGTGTGTGCTCCTGATGGCTGCCTCCTGGAACTGCTGAGGGTAGGCTGGGGTCTTCCCTCTGCGGGACCATAGAAAAGTGTGGACCTGAAGGGGTGGCCCCCCAGCTTCGCCTTTGCCCTAAGGCCTTTGGCTTCATGAGAAGTTGGGGCTGTAGGATCAGAGGCCTTGCTCCCAATCCCAACCCAAGTCCTTCTGAGCTCTGGGCCCTTACCCAGCTGGAGCACCCGGGTGCTGACAGCTGCCCACGGCTGGGCCCAGGCTCTTTCTACACAGTGTGGCATCTGCTTTACTGGGTGTCCTGCTCCTCGTGCTGGTGGCCACTTATGTCTTCGTGGAGTTCTTTGTCAATCCCATGCGGCTGCGTACCAACTACCACTTTGAAGGTCAGACTGGGCTCCAGGCCTGCTCCCACCCTCAGCCCTGGGCCTGTCTGGTCACTGGTCACAGCCCAGCCTGTGCCTTGCAGTCCTGAAGAATCACACAGATGTGTGGTTCGTTTTCCTGCCTGCTGCCCCTGTGGAAACCCAGGCTCCTGCTATCCTGGCCCTGGCCGCCCTACTCATCCTTCTGGGCCTGCTCTCCACAGCCCTGCTCGGGCACCTGCTCTGCTTCCACATTTATCTCAGTAAGTGCCCCTCCGCCCCCTACACCTGCCTTGCAGGACATAGGGGTCCCTGGGCTACAGGGAGGTATCATTTGGGCTGTAGAGCCCAGAAGCCATGCCCCTTCCTGCTGGCTGGATGTGGTGGCCTGGTTTCACTCCATGGTTTAGTGTATATGGGGACAGTGGTTTCAGCCTGGGACAGGGTATCCTCCCTCACCTTCAGAACTCCAGGGTCCCCTTTCTTTTGCACTGAGCCCTCCCCTAACCCCCACAGTGTGGCACAAGCTCACCACCTATGAGTACATCGTGCAGCATCGTCCGCCACAGGAGGCAAAGGGGGCTGACAGGCAGCTCGACTCATGTCCCCCCAAGATGCGACCCATTCAGGTATAGAAGTGGCCCTGAGGGCTGAGGGGGTGGGAGATGGGGCCTGGGTGCGGAAGGGGTGGTGGGCTGTGCAGATAGCAGCCAATGATAAGAAAGGGCAAAGGGAAGCAGGTCTGGAGCAGCAGCTGGGGTAGGGGTGCTGGGCAACAGGGGTGAAGCCAAGCCTGTATTGAGCACATGCCTGCTTGCTCAAGTGTGGGCTCAGTGCGAAGGAGCCCTGCATTCCCCTGAACCCGTGTGCGCTGGAGGGTCTGGAACGTGGGAGCCTAGAAGGGGGCAGGTTGGCAGATCAGAGGCCTTGCTCCCCATCCCAGCCCTGAGTCTTTCTGAGCTCTGGGCCCTTACCCAGCCGGAACACCCAGGGGCTGACAGCTGCCCACAGCTGGGCCCAGGTTCTTTCTACACAGTATGGCATCTGCCTTACTGGGTGACCTGCTCCTTGTGGGGCTGTGGGGGAAGAGAGGTGGTCACCGGTTACCTCCACCTGAGCCCTCATACCCATTACCCTATTTAATCCTTAAAAAAACCCACGAGGCAGGTAATGTTGCCACATCCATGTTGCAGATGAGCATATTGAGGCCAAGAAAGGTTAAACAGAAGCTGGGTCTGGGAAGAGTTAAGGTCTCTACACCCTGAAGCAGGAACCCTCCAGCCCAAGCTAGGGCCTGGCCAGCCCAGCTGCTGACCAGCCGATCCCCTTTCCCATGCCCCATGGTTTCCTGAGGTCAGCAGCTGAGGGGAGGGGGGGGTCCTCAGAGCCCCCAGGGACTGGGAAGGCAGGGGGCCCAGGCAGGCCCTTGCTGGGAAGGCTGAGCCCTGGATCCCAAGTCCTCATGGCAACTGGACACAAACACAGGCTGGTGGGCGGGTTGGGAGAGGGCTTGGGACCCGCCTCTCCTGTTCTCATTGCCAGGGGTGGGCCAGGCTGCCAGGTCTGGGAGAGTGCTGGCTGTTAATGGGGAGCCTCCTGCCACACTACTGTGTACCTGCCCTGGTGTTGGGCCCTGGTGCCCTGTACGCACAGTGGCAGCCATTCTGAGGAGTGGGCTTCATCCCCCACTTCACAGAGGAGTCTGAGGCTCTGGCTGCACAACAGTGCCCATGAGGCAGGGCTGGCCCCAGGATATCCAGGCCCCAGGGCTCTGGGCCCCTGCACAGTAGTCACTGCCTACCTAGGCTTGGAGGCCAGATGCGCCAGCAGCAAGGACATGTAATATCATCTGCAAATGGCCTGAGGGAGGCTTCCGGTGGGAGGAGGGTGTGCAGAAGGGAGAGCAGAGGCTGAAAGGTTCCACAGTACCAGTCAGGAATGTGCAAATGTTGAAGATCTCTGAGGGACAGCTGTGGTGAGGGGAGGAGGATTTGAGTTGGGGACACTCTGGTGACACTCTCAGACTTGCCCAGCTGGCTAGGGCCTAGCTCCTGGCCCCTCGGGCTTCTGGGACCATCCTCTACTACTGCCAGATTCCTCTGCCCAACCCTTGTGGAGCCCAGGGACCCCAGGGTAGGCTTTGGCCCTCTCTGCAGGGCCCTGTAGGGGTGCGAGGTCCACAGTGGGGAAGAGGAAAGATGTGGAGGGAGGTTTCCTTGAGGCCCCAGTCCTTGTGACTGGCCTCAGAACCCTTGCCTCTTCCCAGGGCTCTTCTGCTTAGGCTGGCACCCCGACACTCCTGCCCAGAGGGTCAGCCTGGGCAGAGGTGGGGCAGGGCTTCCTAAAGTGTCAATCTCTACATGTGTGCAGCCAGCCTGTGGCCGGCTAAGCTCTGTCCCCTAAATCTGCCAGTGCCCCAGGCAGCCTCCCCACCCCCACCCAGAGCAGGAATGCGGGAGGGGCCCCACTCTGGAGCCGTTGCCCCCAAACATAGGCTTGTTTTAGAGACCGCGTTTGCTGTTACACTGTCTCTGCATTAGTCAGGACGCCTGGGTCTCCATGGAAACAGCTGCGGAGGGCGCGACAGCTGTCCGGGTGCCCTCCCCCGCCCCCCGCCCCCCCCCGCCCTGTGGGGCGGGGCCAGGACAAGGACGAGGCCCCGCCCCACATCTTTGGCACAAGGTCTTCTCGAGCTGGCTTGTTCCTAGCTTTTGTTTCCTTACCTGCAGTCCTCGTGGGCGCAGCTGGAGCGCGTCCCGCGTGCTGGGGTGCAGGCCTAGGCCACTCCTGCAACATTCCGACATCAGGCCCCTTCGCTTTCAGGGGTTGGGTCTGCAACTCCAGGGTCGCTGTTAGGATCAGCTACTAACAAGACACAGAATTCACTCATAAGCCTGGTCCTGGATGGGGTTGCAATGCTGTTTTTTCCACTACCCATTGCCTTCCCTTTCTGATTAGGGGTGGGGAAACAGAGCATTCCCCAGCAGCTGAGATTATGGTTGGTACTCTGAGGATTCAGCTCTGCCAAGCTGTGGAGCCATGCACAAAACCTTGGGTGCCCACCTGGCCTATGAACAGCTGGCTACCCAGTGTCTCAGCTGGGGTGGGGGTGGGGGGGAATCAATTCAGAGCCTGGAGTCTTGGGAGGGACTGGGAGCAGGAGAGGACATATCTAAGCACCTCTTCCCCACCACCCACCTTGTCCAGAGCAGCTCTAGACTGATGCGTTGGACTCATGAGGCTGGGGGAGCTTCCTGAAGGAAGCAGAGTTTGTCTAGATCAGTGGTTCTCAACCTTCCTAATGCCGCGACCCTTTAATACAGTTCCTCATGTTGTGGTGACCCCCAATTTCATTGTTACAAATTGAACATAATTAAAGCATAGTGATTAATCACAAAAACAATATGTAATTATATGTGTTTTCTGATGGTCTTAGGCAACCCCTGTGAAAGGGTCGTTCGACCCCCAAAGGGGTCGCGACCCACAGGTTGAGAACCGCTGGTCTAGATGAAGTGAGGAGGTCTGTGGGATTGGGGTAAGGTCCAGAAATGGGTGTTTCAGGCCTTGTCCTGCAGAGAGGTTTTTCCAGCATAGCTGGCAGGCCTGGAGGAGAACAGCAGACATCTGCACTCAGACCTCTCACAGAGGCCTGGGGGTTGAGGGTGCAGGGATGTGTGTCCAGGACTGGCTGGGCTCAGGACCTAGAAGGCTCTGGGTCTACACCAGGCTGTCCAGCCTCCCTGACAGCCACCTTCCCCAGGAGATGGAGTTCTACATGCGGACCTTCAGCCATGTGCGCCCAGAGCCCCCTGGCCAGGTCAGGCCTGCTGCAGTGAGTGCCAAGTGAGTGCAATAGGGACATGTGCCAGCTGGACATCTCCCATTGGCATGGCAGGGCCATCTCAGGTGGGAGAAAGGGGGTAGGCCAAGGCCAAGGCAAGGACAGATCAATGCCCATCTGTTATCTGCTGGGAAGGGAGGCTTATATGAGAACCTCCAACTGGCTGGGATTTGAGGGATCATTCACATCCAGAGCTCACCCTCCTGCTCCCCCCTCAGTCTCTCCCGGTTCCCTGTCACCAGTGGCCAAGTGGAGCCTCCACTACCCTCCTCTCCAGAGACTCTGGCTTTGCCCCCCAGGATCCGGCCCCAGGTAGGGGGTACTGTGCTTGGCCCCCGCCCCGGTGGAAAGGGATGGGAAAGAAGCCTCTGCCCTGCCTCACTCCTCTGCCTCTTTTGGCGATGGGGACCTGGGGAAGGGGCACTCAGCCTCCCTTCTGTCTCTGCAGAAAAAGAGGAAGCCGGGTGAGGGCCCTTCCTGACTGGATCCTGCACCAGGAGCTCCGAGGGAAGGAACGGTAGGGGCCCCAGCCAGTAACAGCCCCTAGTCTCACAGTTCCCTCCACTCCCGCAGGGCCCCCGGTCCCGGGCCACCGCTCCAGCTCGTCGTCGGATTCTCGGGGCGCTAGCCCGGTGCTCGTCGCTGGCCCTGCAGGCGCCTACCACTCGGCGTCAGCGGAGTCCATGGACGAGATTCCCGTGGCTCAGACGCGCCTGGGCAGCGCCGCTCTGGCCGCTCCCCGAGACAGGGGCCCAGAGCCAGGGCTGGAGCTGCAGGCCCGTGTGCCTGCTGTTTTCGTGAGCCCGAGCAGTGGCGAGCCCAGGGCGCGGGGCAGCCCGGAGGCCTGCCTGGCTTAGCTGGGCCGAGAGGCCGAGGAGGAGCGGCTGGCCCGACTCTCTATGCAACACCTCGACCCTTGCCGACCCAGTGCACTGGAGGAGCCCGCAGGGCCGGCGGGATCGGCCACTCTCCCCACGACTCAGCAATACCCTCCCACCGGCCATGATGCTCCAATAAACGTTTTTATGCTTTTGCGGACTTACAGTATACTTTCTTAACAGCAAGGGCCTGGGGCTCTCCTGGAGTTGGACCATTTCCCGTCGCCTAGGGGCAGAGGATGGGGTGGCAACCCAGACTGTCATATGGAGGTAAACGGAAAACGGAGGCGCTCAGGCTCAGGGCTCCTGGTTAGGAAAGATCCTAGAAGGCTGCTTGGAGGAGGTTATTTTTCTTGAAGAGTTTTCACTTGGAGACATGAGGGGAAGAAGGCTTTGCGCTCCGGAGGCAGCCGCGGGAGCAGACCGGGAAGTCCAGGAGCTTCCTCCTGGTGGCGGATGGCCGCGGTGCACCAGGATGCTGGGGCGGGGCACTCTTGATCCCCCCGTTGTCCCCTTTCCCAGTCTCCAGAGTTGTGACCTGAGGCTGCCACACGTTAACTGGCGAACCGTGGTCTTTAGCCCGCTCTAGACTCCACTGCCCACTGTCACTGAGGTTAGGGACCCGATCCTCAGCCCTCTATTCTCCCTCCCGGTTGGGGCTTGGGAAGCTGGATCTGTCCTGGAGGCGGAGGCCTGCTTTGAAGTTTGGGTGGGGCCCAGAATGGGGGGCGGCTTTCCCATTAGGGAGCCATCCGAGGACGTCCAGACTGCAGAGGGCTGGCCTCCCCGGCCGCGAAGGCCGCGGAGCTGCCGGGGAGCAAACGGAGGAGGCTGTAGCCGCAGCTCCGCCCCTGCGGATCTCGGAGCGCCGATGGGGCGGGGTCCGGTGGGTGGAGCCAGCATGACCTTGGTCAGTCTGCCGAGACAGCCCTGGGGGTGGGACTCGCCGTCTCTATGGAGACCGAGAAACAGGGGATAATACAGCGGAGCCGCCCGGGCTGCAGTCCCGCCCCGGAGCCGGCAGGGAGCAGAGCTGCAGAGCCGCCCGGTCTCCCGCGTCAGTGGGTCCATTCTTGTGTCCTTCGGTCCGTCGAACGCGCACTGCAGGAGCAGCCACGAGGTAGAAGTCGGTAGGAGACCCGGGCGCCGACCACCCTAATCAGTATCCTGCACGATGAGGAAGGGGCTGGGGGTGGGAGCGGCCTGGAAGGGGTCCCAACCCTGGGGGATACTGAGCTGAGGACGCCAGCTGAGCTGCCCTGCCCCGGGCCCGAGCGTTCCGCCCCCTCCCCCCACCTCCATGTTGGGCTGATTGATGACTCCAGCTGTCCCAGCGGGCAAGCTGGTGGCCCCAGTTCACGGGTGTGGCTGCTCCATCCATGGCCTGCAGACCCCTGGGACTAGATAGAACCTGTGACCCGGCTCTATCTGATCAGCCTGAAATGACCAAGAATCCATCTTCCCACGGAAAGGAGTGAGACTGCCTGGATGCAGGATCCTGCCAGTCCCCCAGGACAAACATTCTGTGGGAGGAAAGCTCCCCTAGACCTTACCCTTCATAACCAAACGCTGGGTCTCTGGTGGGAGGTTGCAGTGTAGGGAGAGGGAAGGTTAGTGCAGGACTGGGATTGTGGACAGAGTCGCTGCAATGTAGCAGCTCAGAAACTGCAACTTAGAGATGGATCAATGGTAGCTGAAGAGGGGGCCCAGGCCCTGGTCACTGGAGACTCTAGTATAAAAGGCAGAGTTATAGGATGGTTGCTGAAGATACGACTGTGGTCAGGAGGCTGTAGTGGAGGAGGTGGGTGTGCTTGGGGGGGGGGGTGTCTCAACACAGGAGTGGTCTCAATATAGTACCTGGGAGTCTAGAAATGCAAGTCTGTGGGTGTGGACACTGGGGGGCTTCAGTGTAGGGCTGAGATTGTGGCCAGAGATTGTGGGTGTGCAGACAAGGGGGGGCAGTATATGGGTGTGATCAGGGTTGAGGGTGTGTGGAGAGGGGGTTATAAGGCTTTGGTTAGGGTCTCGGAAGGGCTGTGGGTGTGTGGATGGAGGCGGCTGCCGTGCAGGACTGAGGGTGTGGTCAGGGAGGCACCATTACAGGGCTGTGCTAGGTTACACAGTGGAGCACTGCGGGTGTGGTCAGAGGACTGCAGGGGGGCTGTGAGGGTGTGGGAGGACCCTTCAGTGCAGGGCTGAGGGTATAATTGGGGAAGTCTTCGATACAGTGCTATTAATATATGTCAAGGGTGAATGCTGAGAGAATGGTTCAAGCCCTCAGTCTCAGGGCTGCGGGTGTGGTCAGGGAGGTCTGAGGACCAGGTGAAGGGTGTAGTCAGGGGGAATAAGGTTGAGGGTGTGGAAGGCCAGGGCTGAGTACACCAGCTGAGTCTGGGCTGGTTGGCAGTGCTCAGGGTGTGGTCAAGGGGCCTCAATGGAGGGCTGAAGGTGGGGAAGTATGCTGCAGTGCAGGTGTGAGGATTACAGGGCCAAGGCCACAGTCCCACTTGCCAATATGCCTCTAGGGGCTCGTAACTCTATACCCCTACCCTGGGCTAGCCCCCCAATCTCCTGTTCCTCCTAAACTCCACAAATTGGGAGGTTACAGCCCCAATGGGTGGCAAGGGGCCAGGAAGCCATGGCTGTGCCCCAGGCACTGGGAGTGCTGGTGTGCCCCACCCGTGGGCCCCTGTTCCCCAGCCCAGCCCAGCCCAGCAGCACTGGGAGCTTCTCCCTGAGCCACTCTGACACCATCCTGCCCTTAGCAACATTCTCCAAGTAGCACCACCTCCCTTAGCAACCGTCTCCAGGCTTCACAAACTGTGGCCAGGCCAGCTCTAGGCTCCTTCTCCCCTCATGTTTTTGTTTAACAGCAAATAGTAACAAGGTCCCGGCTGGGCCAGCTGCACCCCTGCCTAGGGCATGCACCCCTGCCTGTGCTCTGGCTCCCTTCTCAGCCTGGGCTGGGTCTTGCTGGATCCTCATGACCCTGACAAAGACACCGTCCTGACTAGATACTTGCCTAACTAGCAACCTAGCCTGGCCCTGACCCAGCTTGGCATGGAACACCCAGGGAGGGAGGCCTGATCTGCCATCCTCACTTCCACCCAAGCAGGCCTTGTGCCAGGGCCAGACAAAGCCATGGTCCCAGCTGCTGCCCTCACAGTCTTTCTCGACAGTGCCACTCTGTTCCCAGCCTGGTATGGCATCATGATTTCATCTGAACTCCACTCCAAGCCAGGGCTGGCATTAACAATAGGACCTTTCCTCTCGAGGCCCTCCCTCAGGGCTCAGGGGCCCAGGGAGACACTGAGTGCTGGCCCCTCTCCGCTGGCAGCTCCTGCTCCAGCTCTTGAGGGTATGCAGCTTAAACACCCCAACTCAGACCTTGCAGGTTTTGAGGTAGCGGCAGTCATGTTCTGTGCCGTGGGGAGGGGAGGAACAGCTTGGCTGGGAAGTGACCAAGGTGGGTCCCTATAGGGTGGCATGGCAGCGAGCACAGACGTGGCTGGGCTGGAGGAGAGCTTCCGCAAGTTTGCCATCCATGGTGACCCCAAGGCCAGTGGGCAAGAGATGAACGGCAAGAACTGGGCCAAGCTATGCAAGGACTGCAAGGTGACTGACGGGAAGGCTGTCACAGGGACTGATGTGGACATCGTCTTCTCCAAAGTCAAGTGAGCTCCCAGGCAATCCCTGCTTCTGATGTTCCCGGAAGGTGGGAGTTGGGGGGCAGGAAGCAGGGAGGACATGGAGAAGGGGGAAACTCATGGTGTCCACATACCTGGCAGGGGGAAGTCTGCTCGGGTCATCAACTATGAGGAGTTCAAGAAGGCCCTGGAAGAGCTGGCAATCAAGCGATTCAAGGGGAAGAGCAAGGAGGAAGCCTTCGATGCCATCTGCCAGTTGGTAGCAGGCAAGGAACCAGCCAATGTGGGCGTCACTGTAAGTGCCCTGCTGGTCTCAGGGAGACACTGGGGGGTGTGGGGAATCTCAGCTAGGGGTGGGGAGGGCTGGGATCCCTAACCAGGTGCTCCTGGGGGAACTCTGTCCAAACAGAAAGCAAAAACAGGGGGCGCTGTGGACCGGCTGACTGACACCAGCAAGTACACGGGCTCCCACAAGGAGCGCTTCGACGAGAGCGGCAAGGGCAAGGGCATTGCCGGGCGGCAGGACATCCTGGATGACAGTGGCTATGTGAGTGCCTACAAGAATGCTGGCACCTATGATACTAAGGTGAAGAAGTGAGGCCTGGGAAGGCCCCCCGCATGGCTGCCCCGGCCAGAGGTTCAGGCCTGGGCCTAAGGGGCACGTGGAGCAAGAGAGCCCGGTCCCCTCCCTGCTGGACCTGCCATCCAGAGCTTCCTGCCCAGCCCCAGGGCCAGCCCACCAGGCTACTGACCCAGACTGCTCTGTGTCCCCTTCCCCTTTCCTCCATGACTTCTGTCCCTCTGGGGAGAGAGAGTCTGTGCCTATAGCCTCACCGCCCCAACCTAGCCCCGGCACGGCTAACCCCTGACTGCTTGCCTCATATTTAAGCTGCTGCTCTGGCCAAGTGCCTAACTCTTACCCAGACCTCAATAAAGACACCTTTTGTACCAATGTGGCCTGGTCGGGTATATGACAACGGGGATAATGACACTCACACCCCACTGAGCCCTCGCATTCACTCCCCTGCCTCTCGCATTGCTGATCCTTCCACTGGTGGCCCTGCCCCAAAAAAGACAAACACATCCCTTCCATCAGCACAGAGCGAGGCTGCTGGAGATGCTCCTTAGGGAAATCCAGAGCCTCTTGCCCCAGCCCTGACCCAGAGTCCTAACATCACAACTTGCCTTCCTGCAGTTAGGGCCTCAGTCTCAGCCTCTCCGCTTTCACAGCAGGAGGAGGGATGAGACAGCAGATTTGACCTGGGCCAAGTGTTGGCAGGGGCCCAGTGCCAGGCCTCGGTCTCAGCCTGCTGACAGGCCCCCACTCCCGGGGGCTACCAAGGCGAGTCATTCTGGGTTCCAGCTTCAGAATATCAGAAAGTGCAGGAAGAACCTTAGGGGGTAGATAGTCTACTTCCCTAATTTTACAGCTGGGGAAACTGAGGCCCAGAGAACAAAGGGGCTTCTGTGGTGGGGGGGCCGAGGGGGGGGAGGCAGAACCATGCCCAGCATG